TGTATAGGTGTTCAATTGTATCTACCTTATGAGGACAGGATAATACCTGATTACTCTATGATATATGCTAGTCAGTTTTATGACATTGATCAGAATAATGATGTTAATGATATCATTGATGCATTGTGGTGTCAGAGTGCTAACAATGGTACTAATATTGGAGTGTGGTATTATCCTAATGGAACTGAAGTACCTTTATTTGGTGGAGACTTCACCGATTCATCAGCTCCTAGACCAGTGTTCAGTAAGAGATTCAGTGGTCAGATTGCACTAGCTAGAAGAAATGGACTATCAGGATATGAAGGTTTATACAAGTGTATCATTCCTGATGAGAATGGAGTGAATCAAACACTAGTGGTTGGAGCATATACTGATACTGGATACAACAATAATAGTATGTGATGAAAATAGACTATAATTAATGTACTTCTTTTACAGATGGTCCTGATGCTGATCCTACTATGCAGTTCTCTCTCCTCTCCACTAGTAGATTAGCTACTCCTCCAGTCTTCAGTCTCAGTTTCAATGTCTCTGATGGTCCTCCTACTACTGTCAGTTGTTCAATGAATGGGAATGGAATATCTACTGAACTGTCTCGTGTGATAGTGAATGGATCAGGATCTGTTACAAGAGTGACAGTAACAGTGAGACTGAGAGAAGCTGGTAACTATCAGTGTACTGTAGCTAATGCCAGAGTAACTGATGGACCTATTAGTGGTAATAGTGGTCCTACTGCAGTTAGTAGTTAGTGTTGTTCTAGTATGGAATTGTATTTTAGTTCTAGTTCTATTTTTTTGACTAAAAATACTATAATTTTAGTTCTAGTTCTAGTTTTTAACTAAAAATATATTAATTTTAGTTTTAGTCCTAGTTCTTTGACAAGAAATACAATAGTTATAGTTCTAGTTCTAGTTCTCTGACAATAAATACAACAATTTTAGTTCTAGTTCTAGTTCTTTGACTAAAAATACAGTGATTTTAGTTCTAGTTCTAGTTTTTTGACTAGAAATACTATGATTTTAGTTCTAGTTATAGTTCTTTAAACTAAAATTATGGTAATTTTTGTCCTTGTATTAGTTTATCCAATACTTACGTTCCAGTTAAGTCATGCCAAAAATTGGAGTAATTTAAATACTAGTAGTAGCTCATAACTAAAATCTTTTTTGTTATATTGCTGAGTTATGTTTCAAATGTACATCAAATGCAATATACACAAAGTAATAAGTTTTACTGCTGCCAATAAAATAATCGAAATGTCACTGGTACAGTTTATATAAAAATGTAACAGCTAAGCTTTGCCTAAAAACATGTTCACCTGTTTATTGTAGTGGTTTGTAACCAATATTTTCAATTCTAGTATTAGTTCTAGTTCTAAGGAGGTTCAATAATTGTAGTTCCAGTATTAGTTCTAGTATTTCAGGATTAATAATTTTAGTTCTAGTATAGAGTTCTAGTTCTTCAAATAAATAATTTTAGTTCTAGTGTTAGTTCTAGTTCTTCAAATAAATAATTTTAGTTCTAGTATTAGTTCTAGTACTTCAAATAAATAATTTTAGTTCTAGTATTAGTTCTAGTATTTCAGCTACAAAAAAATTAGTTCTAGTTCTAGTTCTAGTTTTTAGAACTAGAACTAAGCAGAACAATAATTATTTAGTTCTAGTATAGAAGAACTAGAACAACACTATTAGTAGTACTTCATCATTTAGTATATCAGGTTAGTGATTATCATCAAAATAATTATTAACTGATTTTCAGTATCTGATACTCCAACTAGTTTAACTGCTACAAGATTAAGTACTGGTTTAGCTCATGTAAGACTCTCCTGGTCTACTGTATCAGGATCTACTGATTATGAGGTCTACTACCAACTGTCTAGTAATACTCCTGTTAGTGTATCCAACACTAGTCATACAACAATCAATATAACATCATCATTGTCTCAAGGAAGTACATACACTTTCTATGTAGTATCTTATGGATCAACTTCTCTACCTAGTGGTAATGCTTCAGTTATGTTAACAATTAGTAAGTATCAGTATGCAACTGCTAAACTACTATAATGTTATTTAGGTAATCCAGTAATTAATATCTTAATAGTGACTGTATTTTCAAATAGTACCATTACATTAACATGGAGTCCACCAACTGCTGTAGTACCAATTAGTTATAATATTAATAGGAGATGTAGGAGAGTATGTGAATCATCAGTCACTAGTAATAGTGAAACATCAGTTTCATCACCACATACTTCAACTGGTATACCTCCTTACAGTCAATGTGCCTTTGATCTTATTGGAATATATGGAGATGATATGGTAGATTTTAATGTTAGCAATTTAACTACTACACTTTCATCTGGTATGCCACTATTTATTAATTCAGTATTATTGTTTTATTCTCTCTAGCTCCTACTGGACCAGTGGGTGATATTATATTCTCATCAGTAGAGTCAGTATCAATGACTGTCTCATGGGATGAAGTACCTTGCAATGGAAAGAATGGACCAATCACTGGATACTACCTCACATACACTAACATCACTTCAAACACTAGTTATACTGTTGATATCACTGGAGGAGACAACAGAATGTATAATCTCATAG